ACAGTCAGCTAAAGTGGCCTGCAGTACTGCACCCTAACCACTGCGCCACCTCGGCTTTTCAGCGCTTCTGCACACCGAGCGTACAGCCCCTGCTCGATGCTCCGCTGAGCAGCTGGAGTGTCATGGAGCGTCGCAGGAGGCAAGGATGCATGCGTGCGCTACGCACCTGTGTGCACGTTCATGTGGTAGATGCCACACCCCGTTGCACCGTACCAGTTGCAACAGGATCCGGAACCTACCACTGCCCCACTTAGAACTGAACCCAGAAGGATATTTCTTCCAACAACACCAAATACACCCAAGGAAATGTACTGCATGCAGTACATATATAGGAAGCAATAGACTTTACAGCATCAGATGTTTGTTGTTTCTACATACAAATGACAGTTGGATATAAAGATATAAAATATTTTACATGAAACATAAAAACATCTAGTTGAAAAGCTTTGTTCCTCATTGCTAATATTGAAAATTAATACATGCCTATATAACTGTTATCCATTCTAACTTATATAGAAATTCTCGGGGACTGTGCAATAGCATGTGGTCTACTGTTATGTTCCTCAGACAGGGATGTTCCGTCCTTGTGAGATGTACTTGAAAATATGTTATTTGTTTTGTAATATAGGTGCCTAGTAACTTGTGAACATAATGAAAGTTGGAAATGTATTTTTTTTCCAGAAGAAACTAACTTAAATGTGATACTTTTGGAATGATGACGAAGATGATAATCTGAGCCTTTGGAATTTTCTTCTTTCAAAATCTGTTTATTTCTTTTTAAATATATATATATATGAAATCATATTCTGATACTGCTACTTTAGTTTGTCATTTGGAATCCTACTTCATAAGGTAAATCTTGCATGTATTTGACAATGAATATGTACAAATAAATTTCCAATTACAGTCTAATGGGCTGCTGCAGATCTGAACTATCTACGCAGATCTTAAGTCCTTTTCATTGATTTCAGAAAGTAAAGGCAAAGATAATGCTAGTTACCATTTAAGCAACAGAATGGAACAGAATACCACATAATCATTATGTCACATAATCTCCTAGATACACAATTATATTTGCAGCTGAAAACTTAAGGATGGGAAGAAACTGAGAGAAAACAGATAAGGTTTTCACATACATACGGCTCTCAAGAGAGGGGAAAGGAAATAAAAATCTGCTAAAGAGGTACTGGAAAGGTCATGTTGGAGTCAGAGAATGAGAATGAGAATATGGCTAGCAAATGAAGTGGATCTAGGCAATTTTGGATTGCTGAAGATATCTACGTTCCTGTGAGATGGAAAATAATCCACAAAGAGTCAACAGAGGATTATCTGTGCTTTAGCGTATCAGCCCCCTCCTCACCCCCCCAAGGAAAAGGATGACTGAAAGATAAATTAACTTTCTGCTAGCCCCCTTCCCCCAAAAAAACTTGCCAGTTAAGTCTAACAGAAGTCTACCTAAATACCTATGTTCCTAACAAAAGAAGCACAGTAGCAGAAGTGTTGCTTTTGAAGGCAAGGGGATGGTTTTGCAGAGCTATGTAATTGGAAAAAAAAGTTGACCTCTTAGTATAGTGAATGCCCTTTCTCTGTGAAATGTTATGAATAAATAAAATCTGAACTGAAAGAACCCCCCTTTTATCCTGCCTCTAAATAGCTACAAGCTTCTATTCAAAATACCAGTCAATTTGCACTAAAAAGTCTACAGATTGAGAATGCTCAAAATTCAGGGCAGAGCTCACAAGTTAATAACTAGCTGCACTTAACATTTTGGAAACCAGAGGACTGAGAGCTACAGGCAAAACTATTATTCAAAATGGATGTGCTATGGATCCAGGGTGAGGCTGGCATTTTGCTGTTCAGATTTCTATAACAAGAGTTTGCATTTGCCGCAGCAGCCACTATCAGCCAAAAAAGGAATTCTGATAGAACCAAGCTTGTATTTGTTTCTTATTCAACCAATCCTCTAAAAAATATGCCTAAACCCAAGCTATTTTTAAAAAATCCATTCTAGACAGATTTTCCCAGCTTGATATTGTCACAATAGCGATAGCACTTGGACTTATATACCGCTTCATAGTGTCTTACAGTCCACTCTAAGCGGTTTACAGAATTAGCATATTGCCTACAACAATCTGGGCCCTCATTTTCCTGACTTCGGAAGGATGAAAGGTTGAGTCAACCTTGAGCCTTGTGATATTCGATCTGCCAACTGATAGCCTATAGTAGCCTATGATCAGCAGAAGCAGCCTGCAGTACTGCACTCTAACCACTGTGCCACCAACAGTGGTTTTGAAAAATCATAGGTAAGTTTATTGGGCTTTTAAAATGCAATCATAATATTCTAATATATTTTAAAATGTTCAAGCACCGCTTAATGTCTATAAAATAGAAAATATTTTTTCTCCCTATATTACAGGGATAGATTATAATTATCTTTCATAGATCATTTTTCCCATAAACATTTTTATTGGTCTCAGATTTTTTAAAGAATATGGTATTGATATGTTATAATAAGGAAGCTATAATTCACTCAGTGAGGCATACCATGTCATCACAAAGCTTTGATTGGCAGTTATCGAAACTGGAAAAAAACTCTGCATGCAAGTTGGATATTTATTATAGCCTCAAAGCTTTCAATAACTGGAAGTACTGGACAAAGTCTCAAGAGCAAAATTAAACAGAACATCCATTAAAATCCTAGTGATAAATATATTTTTGAACTTGGTTTATTGTGTGTATATTTTAATACAATAAGGTGAATTACAGAGAAAATATCTCCATGGTTGCAACTGCACAAAGCGAATAACATATTATCTACTTAGAAGTAACACTGCAAACTATATACACCCCAGTAATGAAAAGTGGGATTGCATACTAATTGGTTTGACTTTGACAACAGGAAAGAACTTCTCTAAATATAGAAACGCTGCATAAGATATTAGTTGTTTTTGTATACCCTCATTCAGAGGCCACTTTGCATAAAGCATTTGGCATTACCGAAGAGGCTTGCATAGTTAACTTAGACATAATGCCAGCTATTATTAGTACTTTGGTGATGTACACAACAGTAAAAGCAAAATCTCCTCATAAATCAAGTTCAAATCCTGGTGACTCCATGGAACTATTGATGGAATCATTCTAGTAAAAATACAAAAGTGGTGGTTTGCCATTATACTTTTCATGTATTAACTAGGTTCAATCCTACTCAAGTTTCTAAAATCAGCCAAAGCAGTGATCTCAGATGATTCTTAGCTAATAGGCTTCCACAGTCCCTCGTTCTTCAGTACAGTATAATTAGTAAGACCCAAGTACAACATTTTTAGCAATTCTTTTTTCAATTAACAGTTGAAAACTATTGTTTAAATCAGAAATTATTCTTAAATTAAATAATTAGAAAATAATTCAATCATGATCCATAATCATGATCCATAAACAAAGTTCATTTGTTTCCCTAAATGAAAAATCTAACCATTTTTTTCACATGTGAATATTTTGAGAAACTACAATTTGGTTTTAAAA